TCTCCAGTTCCTGCAGCTGTCCAGGGCAGCAGTTGATAATCCCATGTTCTGACAAAGAACTCCCTATTTGCATCAGTGAGATCAGTTGCAGACCTGGCCGGTGCTGTAAGCCGTCTCACTCTGTGTCTAGTTGGTCCCCCTCGCGTCCAGGGCGTACAGTCAGTTCTGCTTATTTGTGATAGCTGTGTTCTGTGAAGGCTTTGTTAAGCCCTGACTTCATAGATATTAAACTATTACTGCCTTGGGAAACAGAGGGCGAGGTCGCTGTGTGTCTGCACGTTTTCGTCAGCTGGTCAGTGCACGACCTTGTTTGAGTGTATCTGTGTTTAAAGAGATCTTATTTAATATTTATTCTTGGTTGCTCTGCACCGAACTCGTGACTCGCCACACTGTGAAGCTTCTCTGACAAAGCACTGTTGTTTTGTAGAGCACCTCACTGCCTCCATGTTAGCAACATTAAGGCGGCACTTCAGCACCATAACAGGGGCCGTTTTCAACAGAAGTCACAGTAAAAACAAACCCCAAACAGAAAAGCCTGGTACCAAAGAGACTAGGTGAGGACGCTGGGAGTCAGAGCTTACCCACCAGAGAGGTTGACTGCTCAGCCTTAGCCGGGAGCAGGCATGTCACGTCACTGGGCGTCTCCGTGCTCTGCTCAGAGAAGCCTGCCTAACACTCATTTTGGAGTTACAAACACAGTTTAGCAACTGAGCACATTTGCAGATAGAGAATTCATGAGTGAGGCTCATTTATATTAACTCAGGAAACTGAAAACTGGAAAACCAACTTTTTTTTTATTGGAAAGGCAGATGTACAGAGAGGAGGAGAGACAGAGAGAAAGATCTTCCGTTCGATGATTCACTCCCCAAGTGGCTGCAATGGCCAGTGTTTTGCTGATCCAAAGCCAGGAGCCTTCTTTCCGGGTCTCCCATGTGTGTGCAGGGTCCCAAGGCTTTGGGCCGTCCTCGACTGCTTTCCCAGGCCACAAGCAGGGAGCTGGATGGGAAGTGGAGCTGCTGGGATTAGAACCAGCACCCATATGGAATCCTGGTGGATTCAAGGTGAGGACCTTAACTATTATGGTATTGCGTCGGGCCCAAAAACCAACTTTTGATTATTCAGTTCTGATTATATTATTAGTCACTGATGTCATTTAATTTTTTTTAAGGTATTGTGGTTGGGCCATAGCCTAGTGGCTAAATCCTTGCCTTGCAACCGCTGGAATCCCATGTGAGCACCAGTTTGTGTCCTAGCTGCTCTACTTCCCATCCTGCTCCCTGCTTGTAGCCTAGGAAAGCAGTCAGGGACGGTCCAAATCCTTGGGACCCTGCACTCGCGTGGGAGACCCAGAGGAAGTTCCTGGCTCCTGGCTTCAGATCTCCTCAGCTCTGGCCATTGTTCGCTTGGGGAGTGAGCCAGTGGATGGAAGACCTTCCTCTCTCTATGTCCTTTTCTCTATAAATTTGTCTTTTTTAATAAAATAAAATATATGTGTGTGTGTGTATTATGTATATTTGTATATGTTTATTTATATTTTATATATATTTTTTATTTCCTGTATATATTTATATATCTTAAATTTGAAAGAGTGACACAGAGACATCCTCCACAGGCCGGTTTTCCTCTTCGGATGAGCAGGTGTGGGCCAGGCTGAAGCCAAGAGCCAGGAGCCTCTTTAATCTCCTATAGTGGTGGTGGAAACCTAAGCACTTGGAGAAGCCAGGACTCCAGCTGTTGCCCATATGGAGTGCCGACACTGCCGGCTGCGGCTTTAGCTGCTGCACCACAGAGCCAGCCCTGGATGTCATTTTCTAAAAGATTAAAAAATGATAATAAAGTTAGTTTGTGGCTAACAGGACATTTGGTGAGAAGCAAAAACACTTGAAGCGTTGACCAAAGTGCCACCCATTGGGTATGCATTAGGGATTTATCCCAGATAAATATCCAAGGCTCTCAGGCCCTGTCTTGCGTGTTCAGTGTGCACAGTGCAAGACACTGCGGAGGCAGAGGACTTCGGGCTTCCCTTGACTGGCGCATTGTTCTGGACAGCTTAGGCGCCGCTGGGATGCATAGGCACCTTTGCTTTCCATCTGGACTGTGGCGACTCCAAAGACTGTTTTGCTCTGCTTTTTTCCCTCCTAGATGTATCATTGTGGCCTGCCTTATCTGATAGGTGTTTGTAAGTGTTGTTCCCTAAAAGGAAGGAAATTACTGTTGTCAATGTTAGGATAAGGTGCATTTGGGGTACCTCTGAAGCCTGCCTTCTGCCTTCCTTTTAAAAAACTTTTTTTAACTTTTTGAGAGGCAAATAGATACACAAAAAGATTTCCGTTTGCTTGTTTACCCGCTCCCCAGAATGGCCTGCAGCAGCTAGAACTGAATGGGACCAAATCGAGAACTACTGGTACCAGAGCCCAGTTCTTCGGCATGGGTGGTGGGAGCCGGGTGCCGGGTCAGGCAGGAGCAGAGCCAGATGCCAAGTCCCAGCCCGCCATGGTGTGGGTGGTGGGAGCCGGGTGCTGGGTCAGGCCAGGAGCAGAGCCAGATGCCGAGCCCCAGCCCGCCATGGTGAGATGTGGGCCTTGCAGCTCAGGTGTGAACCACTGTGTTAAAAGTCTGCCCCGTTCTTCTTCATACAAGCACCTACAGATTTTTTCCTCTTTATTTTCATAATTATGACAAAAGATAATAATCTTTTAAACTATTGCAGTCCAACAAATCATTGTTATAAACACCTTTTCTTCTTTCCCTCCCCTTCCCCCCCTTTTTTGTTCCTTCTTCCTGTCTCTGTGCTTAATTATTTTAATGTGGATGAAGTTTTGTGTGCTACCTCAAAAGGGTGCTTGCTTGCACCATTGGAAATTGTTTCATAAACATTCTGATGAGGATTAACTGTGTAAGGATCTAAAGAAATGTATTCAGATCCCGGTGAGTCAACGAGTGTTGACTGCAAGGTACGAGGTGGGTCACGGCCGTGTCTGGCGGTTGCTTGGGGGAGCAGTGTCATGCGTACCATGCATCGTATCCTGACCGTGCACTGTGAAGACAAAGTGCTGCTTTGCGTTTGCGTATCGGTCATGCAGGAGAGAGGTGGGCACAGAAGTGAGATGAAGTCCCCGAGGTCTCCCAGGGTGGGTGAGCTCAAACACCTGTCTGCTGCCTCAGTTTCTCAAGTCTGTTTCCATTCGTGGTTTTCCAAGGCCAAAAGATACCTTTCTTTTATTTTCTTAAGCAGAGACAGATCTTCTGTCTTGGTGCATTCCACAGATGCTCGCGGCAGCCAGGACTGAGACAGACTTAGCACTCAGTCTGGGTCTCCGACCTAGGCTGCAGGGACTCAGGTCCTTGAGCCATCAGCACAGGATCCTGTTTGAGAATCAGAAACAGCGGGTCCTGAACCCAGGCCTCACAGATAAACAGATATACAGAGAGGAGGAGGGACTGAGAGGAAGATCTTCCTTCCGTTGATTCACTCCCTAAGCGGTCGCAACAGCCGGAGCTGTGCTGATCCAAAGCCAGGAGCCCAGAACATCTTGTGGGTCTCCCACATGGGTGCAGGGTCCCAAGGTTTTGGGCTTTCCCAGGCCATAAACTGGGAGCTGGGTGGGAAATGGGGTTGCCAGAATTAAAACTGGGGCCCATATGGGATCCTGGTGTGTGCAAGGCGAGCTCTTTAGTCACTAGGCTGCAGCTCTGGGCCCACCAAGCAGCATCTTAACTGCAGCACCAAATGCTCTTGCCAGCGAAACGCATTCTTGCTATGGGCTCAGTCAAGCAGATTCAGGCAGCTTTCTTGTTAAGTAGCAGGACTGCTGCACACTGACGGTGGTGTGCCCTCTCATCGACGTCATGGTCTGAGCCCTGCAGGAAAGGCCTTGGGGCCCAGACCGGTCAGACAGGTCTCAAAGGATGGCTGCAGGAGAAAGCTGTTTATGGAAAGGAGAGACAATTCCTGAGCTGCTCCTGCCACTCAGGATTCTTCAGAGGGATGCTGATAAAATGTTTGATTTGTTATTGTTAACAATGTGATGTCACCTGAGAAGCTTGTTTTTTTAGCACTGAGTAAAGATGATGACTTCAGTTTGCAGTCTTTTAAAAAAGTAAGAAAATCAAAGGGGAGAGAAAGCTCAGTTAGTGATGCTTTAAGGTTGGGGCCTGGGTTAAATATTTATTATTTTCATGAATGTGACAAACACATCTTAAAGCACACAGCTAAGAAAGATAGTGGCAGCAGTTTGTGTAAATTAGGTTGTTAACTAAGCTACCAAGACCTTTTCAAAAATTAGTTAATGCTTCTGAAAGGGCTCTCATAGAAATCTGAAGAAGTCGGCATTATTTATGTATGCAAGAGTACAAAAAAATGTTAGGGTCTGCATTGGGTTAGTAGTTATTCAGCTTTATTGTAATTATTCAATGAAGTCTCTAAGACCGAATCTCCAAAAACAGAGTGTAGGAGTTAATGAAGTTCATAACTGAATGACAATTGCAACTTTTATTTGAAACTGGGTGGCCAGGTACGTTAGTGTTGGAAGGGAAATTAAATTGTGGAATTCCTGCCTTCGAAAGAACCAAGAAGGAGTCTGTCATTAAAACTAAGTATGAAATTATTGATTACAAACCAATGAAAGAATAGTTTCTAGTACATTAATTTCAAAAAGCATCATTGGGCACTAATGCTACAGCTTGGATCAGAAAAGACCCGAAGTCTTTGTTCTGCAGAGCGTTCATTATCGGTGACCCAAATTCATCCAGCAGAAAGTTTGACTTGAAAGCTCTCACTGAATTATGCTGAGCCTGAACATTCTCCCCAAACCATAGCATCTGCTCTGTGTTTATAAACTGAAATAACTGCGGATGTCAAATGAGAGAAGATTCTACTTCCTTTAGGAAGTGTTTTTTTTTTTCTTTTTTAGAAGCCAACATCAAGAATGCTGTAAGACCTTACAGTGTTTGCACGCTGCAGTCCAGCTAACATGTGCTTTGCGATTCTTTCCCCCCAGTGCCCTGCCAAACCGTGCTAGATTACTTGAAGACCGTTTTGCAACACCACAACCAACTGCTGATGCCACAGCCCGCTGACCAGCCCACCGAGGTAGGCCTCTGGCAAGATTAGTGCGGTTCCAGGCTGCACAGCCCTGGCCCCCAAACAGGTCTGCTAGGCAGACACAGTGCTGTGGCCATGTTGCCTGCAGTACTGTGAGAGCGGGCATGGGTGTCTGACTCACCCCAATCGCACTCTGGTCTCCATGTGGGACAGATGAAGAAGAAGCAGCGATTTCGATTGCGATACCCTGAGCCGTGCCCCAAGGCGGTGGCCACCACCCTTTCCAGTCGCGCAGGTGGCACTGGGTGTTCCAGAGGGCCGCTGCTGGTGAACACTCTGCTTTCATAGGCACCCCCAGAAGCTGTTGTCTCCGTGTGTAGAAGTGGTCTGTGTGGAGTGTGAACAGCCTATCTCTGTACACAGGGCACGTTTGAGTGAAGCTTGCTTTTCCATCTGTTATTTTCCTTTGTTGCCTTTTGAGCCATGGAGCCCTGGCTGCATTTCCTTAAGTGTCAAGCGCTCACATCTTTACCACCCTGGAAATAAGCCTGCCTTTGGCTCTGCCTTCCGAGCTCAGCCTCGTCCCCCTCCCATCCCATGCACAGTGCCCTAACGCAGGCCACACATCCTCAGTGGTGTCCTGTGTCTCTAATGAGTGAACACTGTGAGACTAGTCTAGGCGGGCACTTCAGAAGTTTGATGGAAAGGGGATTGAAAGATGAGTTTATTTTAGTGCAAAAATGATTTCAGCACTAAGAGTCTTCAAGAAATTTGTAGGAGATTTGTGATATAAAAAAAGACAGTAGTATGGATTTCCAAACTTTCTGGCACCAAGGTCCTTTTCCCCTGAATTAAAATCCATATTTCTTAACTTGACATATCATACCACTTCCTCCAGGAAGCACATCTGGTTACTACCCTCCTGCTGGTGGTCACAAGTCTGATCTGGAACTTAGCCACCCACCCAGAGTACACCTGTATCTTCCATTGGGCTGTGTGTCTGGGAAGACATTAGTTAAAAGTTTAATTTCTTCAAAGTGACTCAACACTGCATTAGAATGCGATGATCTGTTGGTGGCTAACTGAAGAAAAAAAATGCACTCAGAATTCCATAAAAATACGAAAATAAAGGAGAATCTGCATTTCCTCTGGATGGAACTATTTAAACTTTTATGACCCATCGTCGTCATTATTACTCTACTATTTTTATTATCAATTCAGGCCCATGAGCATTTTCTCATTTTTATTATTTGTCACATTTTATTTCTATTAACTCTGCTAAAGCAGGGTTATAAATCTCATCCATAAGCCAGAAAATGTTCTGAGTGGTGTTTTGGATTGTAAATTTTTCTCTTTCTTTCCTTTTTCTTCATGAAAATTACCTCCAAATGGTATTTCTTCATTTTATGGGACCGATATTTTATGTAGAGCGCCTGTATTTTAGAAAAGCTTTTGAATTCTTGTGTGAATTTTTTTTAAGGTGTGGAAAAAGCTCCTTTCTTGCCTTGTCAACTCCGTAATTACAATTTCCTCCCATTTTGTAGTAGTCTGGCTTTAGGGGTACAACATTGCATCACAGGGTGAACCTTAGACTGGGGCGCAGGATTCCAAGCCCTGCATTTTGAGTTTAAGATCTAGAAAAAATAGGATTGGAAGACAGCAAGCAGTCCTGGCTTGCTAAGTGTGCTCATCCACCTCAAGGGAGTCATTTTAAATTAATGTTAAATAAATGAAAGGTTTCAAGATCTTTTTTTTTTTTCTCTTGGAAAGACAGATTTATAGAGAGAGGAGACAGAGGGAGATCTTCCATGTGCTGGTTCACTCCGCAAATGACCACAACAGCTAGATCTGGGCCAGTCCAGGCTGGGCACTAGGAGCTTCTTCTGGGTCTTTCACATGTATGCAGGGGCCCAAGCATTTGAGCTGCCACCTTTTGCCTTCACAGGCCATTTGCAGGGAGCTGGATCAGAAGTGGAGCAGCCAGGCCCGAACCAGTGTTCATACGGGATGCAGGCTGGTGCTGCAGGTGGAAGCTTGGTGTGCTATGCCACGCACAGCACTGGCCCCTAAAGAAAAAGTTTAAAAAGCAGTTATTCCGGGTCCTTTCCCACAGCTGATAAACCAGAAACAGGAAGCAGAGGCTTGGGCTATGCTACATTAGTACTTACGCAACCACTTACCACACCTGCCCTGTGGTCTTCATGGCCTCAGGAGGAGGGTACTGGCTAAAGATGCAGATGAAATGAGCTTCTGGTGGAGTGAAATGCACTCACTGAAAGCAGCTAGCAATTTTTAACCCTGTTTTGGCAGAAAGGAGCTGAAGTTCAGACACCTGCCTGCGGCCCACTCCAGTGTCTGGCTCTGGAATTGCAGTGGTGCCTCCTGCTGGCATGAGAAGGGAGACCTGGGTGCTGAGTGCTTCATATTAGGGCTCTTTAACAAAAGTGCTTTGGACACAGCTAGTGGTGCTGAGTCAGCCAATGCCAGGTTCCGCCCACAGGCCCTCTTGGGCTGCCCTGTGTGTCAAGCACGTGGTGAGCTGGACGGAACCCTTGGAAGCCCTGCCTGCGTATGTGGGAAGCAACAGGATTCCTCTCCTGGCTGCCTGCCTCCCTTCCGGGCCGCACCCTCTGTTCCTTGTTCGTGAGGCACTGCCAGTGAGCTTGCAGATCCTCGGCCTCCTGGCTCACCAGGTTGGCTGCCAGCTCCTCTCCAGCCCCCAGCTCATCCCCACTGACTCGCCCTGCCTTAGGCCCCGCTCACATCAGACATGTCTGTCTCACCTCCTGCCTGTAGGATGCTCCCGGTGCTCACATCGCAAACCAGAAGTGTTTCAAGCAAGGATCCAACCAATTTGAGTCCTTCATCTGGGTTACTCCAGCACCTAGCCAAGATTCATGTCAAGTCCAGCCCACATCTGGATTCAAAACACAACCTGTGCACCTCTTTGGCCCACTTTTGAAATGCACTCGCCCTCAAGCTAGTTCAGGAAAGGCTTATTGCCTCAGCAGGACTCTCCTGACCTCCTTCCTGCTGGCACCTGGGCCCTTCACACTTCTCGTGTAACCAAGCGACACTTGCTGGAGCAAGGCCTTATTGTACCCAAACAGGGCCAAATTTATAACCTGTAGTAAATTTGCAGAGTTGTAAAACTGAAGGAGCTTTTTTCCCCCTTCTTTATTTTATACTGTTTAATTACTAGGGAAGAGGAGTGCATTAAAAAGTGAGATCATGGGTTAATTAATTTGTCCTGGACTGTGGAGTTTTATGGGCAAGCAGAACTAAAGTAATGGTTGTATAGGTGCAATTGACTAAACATGGCTTATAAATGTTACAGAAATACCTGTAATTAGTCCCACTGCAGCTATTTGGCCCAGGACTTTTATAGTAGACATAAATTAGGGAGGTGAAAAGTGGGGAAAATGGTGAGTTGACATCGTGGCATTTGCAGAAGCCGTCATTTCGGGAGACCTGTTCTGCGTTCTTACTAATGATTGCTCCCCTAATTGGGGCAGTTTGCCCTTTGACGGCTCACCTTGGATCGCTGTTTGCACGTGCAGTGTGGTGGGATCAAGTGTGGGGTGCATCCCACTTGGGTGCTCCCCGATTAAAATAAGCCCCCAGCAACATCATCTCAGGAGTGTTTGCCTGGCAGATGCAGGGTGTAGAGACCTGTTTGATCACACTCTTCAAAGTCCTTTTTGCATATTTTAATAGATTGAAAAGGAAAGTTACAGGTTATATTTAAATGGTGTTCCCTGTCATTGGATCCTGACACACTTTAACCTACCTGTTAAAATGCAAGTTATAAATAGCCCTCTCTTTCAAAGGTGTTCATTATAGCTCATTGGCTCTTGTTACAGAAAATGCAAATGTAATTTGAAAAGTGCCCGTTGTGAGTGTGAGCAATTACTCGTGCTCTTCAGTCCCCAGTTCATTGTCAGCCTAGCCACTCGGTTACAAAGCGTGTTTGCCTTTGAAATGGAGATTGCTTTGGCTTCTGGCTGGCTGGCTCCACAGGTAATGAGAAAATATTTCGCTTTTCCAGGGAAGCAAGCAGCTGTTGAACAACTATCCCGTCTACATAACGAGCAAGCAGTGGGACGAGGCTGTAAATTCCTCCAAGAAAGATGGGAGACGCCTCCTGCGCTACCTCATCAGATTTGTTTTCACAACCGATGAGCTTAAGTACTCATGCGGCCTTGGAAAAAGGAAAAGGTCAGTGCAGTCAGGAGAGACAGGTCCTGAGAGACGCCCTCTGGATCCAGTTAAAGTCACATGCCTCCGAGGTACTGCATCCTTCCCCTCAGTGTCACCATCCGTGGTCCCATTTCACCGCATTGGCTGTGGCTCCCCGTGCAAGTGTTCAGCCTTACTGTGTTTTGATTTCTTTCCGCTGAGCCCCTATTGGCTTCATGTGGCCCATTTCTTCGGTATTGTGAAGCTCTTTAAGGGGGGAAAAAATCCTCGTCTGCTTTAGCCTTGTTCTCACTTAGTGGTACATAAGCATTGCATAGCACCTCATGTTTCACGCTTCAAGTTCAGATTTTCTTTGTTGCCGGTGGGGGCCACTTCCAGCAAAACTGGAGCATCAGGGAAGCACGCAGAGGCAGGGAAGATGTGGATTTTTTGTTGTTGTTTTCCTAAAATGGGTAAAATTTTATCCTGTCTCCACCTCTAGCCTGTGCACCCATCTAGCTATCCTCCTAAGAAATTCTTGGCCCAGGTCCTGAACTTGATTTAGAGTTGATTTTCCTTAGTGCCTATGGTACACAGCTAGGAAACCTTCAGTTGCTGTATTAAAAGTCTTTCCTGGCTAATATGGCTTTCATCAGCTCAGTCCTCAGCTGCTAAGCTGCACTGCCACGTGCCGGGTAGCAGGCAGGAAGAACCAAGAGGCGCCTAGTTAGTGGAGCAGATGAACTCAGACTGCGCAGTGTCAGCCACAGCTCCCCCCGGCTCAAGCTTTCGCTCTGGGGTTCACTCACAGTTTCCTTCATTGGAAAGACTTGGTATTGGTTTCACTGGGAATCAGGATTGAGAGGAGGAAGTATAACGCAACACTCTCACCCACGGGGCCTTGGCTGTTGGAAAAGCTACCCTGATGCCCTGGGATGCCCACAGAGGCTCTGCTTCTATGGGCCTAGGGTGTGCGTTGATGATGTTAGCAGCTCAGATTCCCAACCCCCTCTTCCACATGCCCATTCCATGGGGCTGGGAAAGATACGGTGGCTTCTGGCCATGGCTGCCCTGAGAGATTCAGACGCAGAAGACCTTGCTTGGCTAGGTGACATGTGAATGACAATGTGATCCAGGCACTCACGCGGCAGACTTTCTCCAGTGGGACATTTATTTACTTGGTAACTGAGTGCTGGCAATACCCAGGATCTGTCTAAACTGGCCAGACTTGCCCTTGTGCTTCCACATCATGGTCCCTGGAGATGGAGTGACTTCAGACAGCTCACTGAGCCTGAGCATTCCACTGGAAGCACTCTTGGGTATTAGCGAAGAAGGAACCGAGTTCTTGGGTCTTAGAATGGGATTGCTTTCTGGAAATTCTCACTGCACGTGTTCCACATTAATAATAAGTTGGCCAAAGTAGAGGGTTGAAATATTTTCCAAGGAGTTGGTGATGTTGCCCTGAGAATGCAGCTGGCTGCCCTGTTGCCCTGACTCAGTGCAGGTACCTGGCCAGGATCTGCAGCTCATCCGTTGGGGACCACCCACTCACGGGCTCCAGCAAGCCCTAGGGTGGAAATACATAGGCAAAAAATGATGGACGTCTGTGTGTCAGAGGCGGCTGAAGCCTCTCCTTTCCCAGGCGTGCTGATTGCTTCCTGGTGAAGAATACTTAGATGAGACACACTTTCCACAATATTGGTGTATACCTGTGTAGCCATTAACAACTAGAGAAGGAAACAGGAATAGCCTGGCATATGACAACTTGAGTGGAAAAGCCTTTTCTGGACCAACACTTAGGTACTTTCTTACTTACAGGGTCTTTCTCGGTTGTGCTCAGGCTTCCTGTTAGCAGCCTGCTCAGGAATCCCATGTTAAGGATATGTGCTGTGCTTATGTTGGTAGTTAACATTCTGGAAATTTTAAGCAGATAACAAATACTGCTTTTTAAATGCCTTCTCTCACTGAGCCCAGGCGTCACTCTTGTCTTACAACTCGGATTTATTCTTTAAAAACAGTTGAAGGTTTTTTTAAGAGAAACCACCCTCTCACTTAAGTGATTTTTTGTTTGTTTGTTTTTTTGCTTTTGTACATGAGAAGAAATTTTGGAGTAAGTTGCATCCAATGATTGACATCATCATGGCATTGCATTGGATTTCTCATAAAGCTTTCCTTCCAAGCTTCTGTTAAAGTGTAAGCAGCCTGTCCTGCCATCTCTGTAAAAGAAAAAAACAGCTTTTTCTCTCCCTCTTTTTTTTTTCCTGTGATGTGTATTCCCACAGAATTCATTAGAATGCATTGTACCTCCAACCCTGACTGGTGGATGCCTTCGGAGGAGCAGATAAACAAAGTCTTCAGCGATGCTGTGGGTCACGCCCGGCAGGGGCGGGCCGTGGGGACTTTCCTGCACAACGGTGGCTCATTCTACGAAGGGATGGATCACCAGGCCTCGCAGGATGAAGTCTTCAATAAGAGCTCCCAGGACGGATCTGGGGATTGCTGAGTGGACTTGACCTGCCCACGGGAGCCACCTGTCCTCAGAAGACCCAGTTGTGAACATTCTGTTCCTGTCCCCCAAGAGTCCAAAGCATGTCATTCTGTTGCTCTCTGCACATTTGCAACCTGGACACGTTCTCGATCTACTGTCACGGTTCCCAAGTAGAAATCCATTTTAGGGTTATTTGGAAAGACCGTGGCTCCTAGAACAGACTTCTGGGATGTTAGAAGGTTACAGTTGACTTTTCATGAATGCTAGCTAGACGGTGAAGGTGCCGAAGGGTGAGTTCCTACCACCTGCCCCAGATCTCCCTGGGAAGTACCTGCTTTCCAGAGCGGAGCTAGCCCCCGAGGGAGGAGGGCTGGGTTAGTGCCTCTGCCCCATGCAAAATGGTTAGAGACGTAGATTTATTTTAAGGGCCAAGGAACAGATAGTGTCTTACTTTAGTTCTAATAAGATGTCTTTATGTTTTCCAAAGTCTTAAGCTCATAGTTATCTGCAAAGGCATGAGATCAGTGACAAGATATGCTGTCTCTATATATTGAAATCTGTGACAAAGAAGTTAAGAAACAGGCCACCAGCGTAGATGGTAATTAGCTGTTTTTCTATCACTTTACAAAGAAGACATTCCACTGTGCTGATCCGGAAGGTGCGCTGTGTGAAGTGAGTCTGCACTGACAGCAGTGTTGCATTGTCAGTCATCAAGCGGTCCAGAATCATATGGAACATTGTCTCATAGCTTTCTGGAGCCAGCAGCTTCCATAGCCTTCACTTGGGCTTTGTGGACACGGTGCTCAGAGCAGTGTGGTGGATGATGAGAATTCCCACCAGTTTGTTGTTTGGTGATCAAAGAAGTGGTGTGACTGCTGACATTAGCCAAGTTGGCCAGATGTCTGAAATTCTGTACACACCGTGGCAAGGGCAGTCGAACAACTATGCAATGGGCTTGTCAGTGATTTCTCTGAAAATTCAGGGTCTTCGGGCGCTGAATTGATCATCACAAAGTGCTCTGTTTCTGTCGTCTGTGATCGTGGAGGAAACCATGTCATCCCGAGTGTGTGCACCATTTCCCTCAGTTACCACTTTGAGTGAACCCATTCCACAAGCCTCCCTGCTTGCGTTCCCCTGTTCGGTGTGTTGAGCTCCGTATGGAAAATGAATGGTGTCTTGGGACCTGTTCCTTGATCGCCAAATGCTGTAGAGGAGATGCTAGGGCTGTGATTTCTGAGAGCCTCGTGTTTTAGGTGAGCAGAACTTTCTTTACTGAACTGGTCCAGATGCTGCTTTTTGCTTAGAAAACAAACATAAGCAGTATTTGTTTAAGGCTGTTATGTTATCTGCACAACATGACTGAGGGTTTGGCGCATCCATTTATGAATGCTGCTCTTTTTTTTTCCCGTGTTTTAGTCCAAGCAAAAAAACAAAAAGCATAAATTGTCCTTACATTTACTGTGGACTGAGTGCTAAAAGCAGGTCTTTCAGCCCTTGAAGAGTTTGATGTCTACAGGAGTGTGCACTTGTCAGATAGTGTAGAACTACTATTTCAATCCTCTTTTGGGAAAAATTAGTCAAAATTTGGAAAAGAAATGCTTGGGATAAATGGGATGCTACTTATGGCAACCATGAGATGAGTCTCTAGATGTCCAAGGAGGAAAATTCTAGAAGTGTTTAGAGAGATCTGAGAAGTTCGTGTCATACTTGTGTGATAGTTTTGCCTGAAGGGAGCCCCCCAGGGCCCTGTGAGGCTCCCTGTCCTGTCTTCCTGTTGCATATTGGGCTGTAGTAAACCTCACTGCTTTTCTGTCCTCTTTTCTATAGCAACAGTATGGCCACTGCTTTTAAGAAAGCAGAGTTCCAGCCCTTACCATTATCTTGGGTTCTGTTTTTTTCACACCTAAGTGTCATCTTGGAGCCCCAAGCAGTGCTGGTCTTTTGTGGGTGGGGAGACACTGCCATGAAAGAAGGGGATGTGCCAGGTTTGCACCACCCACCCTTGTCTGTTCCCCTTACTCCCATCCCAGGTGACTGACTTCTCTCCGAGCCATTTCCCAGTGCAGCACAGATTGTAGAATGTTGGGCTTCTGCGTTCACCAGCTCCTGCCTGTGGTGAAACCAAGCTGCACGGAGACAATGGGCTCAGTACTGCTTTACTGTTCTGATGACTCAGGAGACTGAGCTCCCCTTCCCCCAAGGCAGGTGCCATTGCCCTTAGTCCCCTGACTGGAACAGTTGCCACATTCCGTTAGCCTGGCACACCGCCTCTTCTGCGTGCTCGTAGCCACTGAAACAGAACATCAGCTCTCACGCATAGTAGCCCTCTGCAGAGGATGGAGCCATCCTGCCATCTCATTTTACCTGCAAGGCTGTTACGTCACCCATGTTTAAGGAGGGTGCCTGTGTGATCACCTGGCCTTATACTAGAGATTTGTTTATTTTTGCCACCCACCTCGCTTCCGTGAGCAGCAGGGTTAGGGCTCACAACTCAGAAGACTGGATGCTGCAGCGAGCCCCCCAGCCTTTCACCTGATGCTTTGCAGACCTCAGGATGTTGCTGGTGCTCATTTTCCACATCTCTGAAACTTGGGCAAATTGCTGTTGAGAGAAAACTTTCAGTCTTTTGCCAACTTTCAGTCATTTTAGCATTGGTCTAAAGTGGGTTCTGTGAGAACAGCTCGGGATACACCAGTCCTCTGCTGAGGCCTGCCAGACCACAAAGACGAGACAGCCCTGTCAGTGACTCGGCGAGTTCATAAGCCCACACCCGTGGACTAAGGTGGCCAAGCGTGTCCTTTGTTCTCCAAATTAAAATCTCACGGTAGAGACTAGGCGTGCTGTGCAGTGTCCACCAGGCCAGGCATGGACAAGTGTGGCGTGTTTTGGGAGGGAGGACACACGGGTGAGGACCCTGGAGGGCGGGAGCAGTGCTCTGCAGGCAGTTACCAATGCGGCTTTTCTCTCTGATGACACAGTTTTCACAAACTCACGGCCTCACTTCCATGTTAGTTTTCAAGAAAAACTATAAATACTTAAATACGTAACTTCTCTCTTCTCCAGCATCACCCTCAGAGCTTGGTGCCTGTTGGCACCACAGTAGTTAGGCCGCTGTAACGCTTCCCCAGAAATGAAGAACGCATTAGAGTGCTAGAAGAAAACTACTGCCATGTCCCCTGGCAGCGGAAGTGAGGGCTGCCTGGAAGGATACTCCGCAAAGGTTCACGAAAACCTTAGTTTATTTTGATGCAAACTTGTAACTTATGCATAGCTTTTATCAATGTAGGCATTTTCCATGAAGTTTCCAAGAGACTCCTCTTACGGCGTATTTACGACTGCAGAGTTAGGTGGGTGATTTTATGTTCTGTATGGTTAGTTATTCCTTCACTAGTTTAAAAAAAGAACTTGGTATAGAGATTGCTTATAGATTAAGGATTGTAAGGAGGTATGTCACTAGGGTCTGTTGACTCAGTTGCTGTGGCATCAGCCGGTGTAACTGATGTGGGTAGAATGGCTTTTTGAAGGTCAGTCACTGTTACTATATCCAGCGTTTACCCAAAATTCAGAACATAATTCACTTTCCTTCCCTTTCTAATGACTGCTTTCGCTCTGAAAATCGCCTTTTAAAGATGAAAAGTGTACTGAGTGTGGACAAGCAATACTTTGTCTTCAGTTGAATTCTGTAGTTGAGTGTGAGCTGCAGAAAGTTAAACAGCCATTGACTACCTCCTGAGTTACTACTTTTCAAACCTGCATTCTTTGACAAGTTCATTTTAAGAAAAAACAACACGAGTATCACTTTCCTCCTCCCGTGCTGCATGCCCTTTCACAATACAGATCTGTTTTAATTTTTGACAATTCTCATATACAAATTTTTAGAAATGTAATACAAAACGATTTTACACATATGGTGCAAGTCTTGCTGTGTGTGTTTAATGTGGTGATACTTGCCAGAACTGCTTGGCAAAACATGTCAAATAGGATGCTTGAGTCAGAACTCTAATGTAAATGTGTCTAAACAGCAATATGTATCATCACGATGTATTTTTGTAAACATAGTGATGGCTGCTTTCAGTCGTGTAAGTACTGGATAAAAATAACCACCTCACTTGGAACAGTGTAAGAAAATGTCACCCAGCTGATGGTCCTCTGTACCACCAACCAATGATATCGGCTCCTTTATTCATATTGCTTGGAGAATAAATGGAAGAAGTGACATCAGGCAACATGAAGTGTGCAAAGATAAAAACCTGTCAGGATTTGCTTTTTAAATGTCAGATTCAAAACTTGAGCTGCAGTATTTACACCTCTGAGGCCACTTTAATCTTCACCATGTATTTAATTGTGAAAAAGAGAAGACTTGACTTCTCTCATCTAACATCTAGCCTGGTCAGTTTTATCTGTTGACAGCACTAAATTTACCAATAACAATGAAAAGATTGATTTTCCCGTTAGCCCTCCATATTGGCAAATATACAGGTGTTTTCGTTGAATCAGAATTCCTCAGATTGTAACAAAGACACATCTGTTTGTAGGACTCAGCACCAGCACAGGTGGCCAGATGTGTCTTGGCCTTGTTGGGAAACTACCCTCCAAAGCAGTTTACAACAGGGTCACTACAACTAGCTGGTAAACCTCATCGTGGGATTTTTATGTGCCACTACTTTGCTAACGCATTTTAATGCATCCTGTCATTCTAAACTTCACAACTACCCTGTTGGGCTGTTATTCCTGTTGTCCATATTTTATTGATAAGGAAGCTGCCCTGTGTACTCAACTAGTAAGATGATTTTGGGTTTCCTAAGCGGAATGACCAGCTTTCCCCAGAAGTAAAAGCACAGTTCTCAGAGTCTGTGAACACTGAAGTATGTGCTTTATTTGTGCATCAAAAGTAAGGTCGTATTTCTCTTATTAAAAATAACTTTGGAAGTAAAGGATACTTGAGCATATAAACCATATATCCTCTCAAATGTCCAGCTTCCTACTTAAGACAATGATGAAGACGGAGGACTTTGTTTTTTTGTTTTTTTGGTTTTTTTTCATCAGGAGAGGACCACCCAGAGAGGAGAACTTAGAAGACTTTAGAAGTGGGTAAATTGGTCGCTAGCTTGTTCACATGTTTGGGGGGCAGAAGTGTTCCCCACTACGGAAATGCAGAGGTACAAAAGCCAAGGTTTGACCTCAGTGAAGTGGTGGTCTTTGGGCAGTCCTGATGGTTCGATGCTGCCTCTGTCATCGTGGGCATCAGGCAGTGTTCCATTCATGTTCCACCTGTGTTGTCTTTGTAGCCCCCCTAGTTGGTGATCTGCTTTGGAAAGGAGGATTTTACGATGTCGGTGAACATTTTTAAGAAAATGCAGTGATCTGTTGATCCCCTTGTGCTTTTGGCTTTAACATCACTTTAGCTGTGTTTAAGTTCAAGGGCATACCAAGACCATTAGGGCCCTGATTTTTGTTTGTTGAGAACAGGGCATGCCAGGAGAGGGGGGCTCATAAAACTTTGAAGGTTACTGATCCAGCACAACAGTGTCCACTTTCAGCATTGCCTTCGTGTCTCTCTTCTCTAAACTTCATGTAGCAGCCTGACACTGGGGCCAACTTGCCTTGACTCTATTTTCTATGATGAATATTCGTGGAGAAACTGTGACAAATCCATCGGTCCTGATATTTTTATTGTTGAAGTCTTGTTGATTCTTTATTAATAGTTTCTATTTGATTGTACTGTGTAGAATTAATATCCAATGGGGATATGTTAATAAAACTACAAATGTGTAGTGTAATATAGAATAGCAAGATTTTTTTGTGAACAATTTATATAGAAGAGTAAGTTGTTTTTTAAGTGTTAGGCACATTTCTTTTAGAAACCTAAAATGTTATAAGAGTTTTTTAAACATTCAATATTTTTAATTATAAGAGACATTTGTTACTAGAGCCAATTATTTCAGGTGTTCTAATTGGAGTATTGATTTTATTACCTCATATACCTCTATAATGCCACATGTTCTGTTGGGAATAAAGTTGCACAATAAATGTCAAGTTTCTGTTAAGCATTTTAACATGCCGTTTGCATTTTTGTTTTTTTTACCAATTCATCACAAAAAGCTTCTCTCTCTTTGTATATAGAACTTAAGGCTTTTCACTAATCTCCAGTAGGTGAAAAGCCTTCAACTTATCTACAATATGTTTATTGAGCTTATTTTGCTTAATAAATATATTGTAGATAGATATGTCAGAGAAATGACCAAAAATCATCCAAAAATTCATTTGCCTGTTTAAAGGATCACAGCCTATACTGATTTAGTCCTAGTCCAAGTTTCTGTGCAGTAGTTTCTATATTCACGCAGTGTGTGTACAATATTGTGAAAATAAAATCCCATAGCTGCTTATGACCTTGAAATTGAAGAAAAAAAAAATGCTGGTGGTTAATGGTGTTTGAACAACGGTGTGAGCTAAATAACTGTAGCTAATAAGGTGAAATTGTTGTGGATTCCCACTTTTTACTGCCTAAAATATAATCTGAAACGACCGTTAGAGAATGAATCTTATTTCATAAATTGGAGTCAGTAAAAACTTAGGCGAAATTTAGTTTCATTTTAGGACAAATATATAAAGTTCTATTTTTCTCTGAGAGTTGCAGAGTTTTAGCCTGCAATGCATTAGCCCAAGTAGATAGTTTAAGATAGAAATACCGGGCCTGGTGCGATAGTGTAGTGGTTAAAGTTCTGCCTTGAACGTGCCAGGATCCCATATGGGCACTGATTCTAATCCCGGAGGCCCTGCTTCCCATCCAGCTCCCTGTTTGTGGTCTGGGAATGCAGTTGAGGATAGCCCATAGCTTTGGGACCCTGCACCCACATGGGAGACCTGGAGGAAGCTCCTGGCTCCTGGCTTCAGATCGGCACACCACCAGCCATTGCAGCCACTTGGGGAGTGAATCAGTGGATGGAAGATCTTCCTCTTTGTCTCTCCTTTTTGTATATCCGCCTTTCCAATAAAAATAAATAAATTTGTTTTAAGATTTATTTATTTATTGGAAAGTCAGATATACAGAGAGGAGGAGAGACAGAGAGGAAGATCTTCTGTCCAATGAATGATTTACTCCCCAAGTGAGCGCAATGGCTGATGCTATGCTGATCCGAAGCCAGGATCCAGGAACTTCTTCCAGGTATCCCACATGGGTGCAGGGTCCCAAAGCTTTGAGCCGTCCTCAACTGCTTTCCCAGGCCACAAACAAAGAGCTGGATGGGAAGCGAAGCTGCTGGGATTAGAACCAGTGCCCATATAGGATCCCGGCGCGTTCAAGGCGAGGACTTTAGCCGCTAGGCCACGCCGCTGGGCCCAAAATAAATAAATCTTAAAAAAAAAAAAAGATAGAAATACCCCCAGATTGATACCGATTCCATACAGTTGCTGTCCATTGCTGGGGTCCGTGCAGTAGGTGTGGATTGCATGAAGGTGTGAAGAGAACAGCTCCATCTCAGCTGCCTTTGCAGAAAATGGCAAGGAAGTCAGCTAGCTGGCAAAAGTAACCCTAACATATAACTCAAATGGATCATGGAGCTAAATGCTTTATG